CGCCCTCGACTGGCGCACGACGACGACGGCGCCCGAGCAGACGCCGCGCTCGGCCGNCCGCAGGCGGACCCCGACCAGGACAAAGGGGAGGCCGACGACGACGGCGCAGACGCCGCCGAAGCCGCCGGCCGCGAGGGCGCGCAGCNGCGAGAGGAGCGCCGACAGCGCGGCCGGCGCGGCGGCCCGGGCGGACACCAGGGCCCCGCGGGCGGAGGAGGGGACCAAGCCGGCGAGGGCGGAGACCGCGGCCGACGGGGAGGAGGAGGAGGAGGAGGAGGAGGAGCCGCACGGNGAAGAAGACAAGGAGGCGGCACGAAGAGGGACAGCGACAGGCAGAGGGGGGAGGAAGAGGGAGAGAAGAGAGAAAACGAGGGCGAACAAGACACCCACGCACACCCCAACCAACCCCAAAGAACCACAACAAACCCAACAAGCCACCACAACACAAAACACCAAAACACCACCACCACAACCACAAGAGGCCAACCCCAAACCACAACCAAAAAAAAACAAAACCACAAAAAAAAAAACAGCACAACAACAGACGCGAGGCACCCCGCGAAGACCCACCAGAACACACAAAAACAGAACAAACAAAACGACAAAGACGCAACCCACAACCGAAACCAAGCCACCCCCCCCCCCAACACACACCCCCCACACGACCAACCACCACCGGAGGCAACACCCCAAGCCAACGCCAAGCCACAGAGCACCCGCACACGAGCACAAACCACAAACCCCAAAACAAAAAAGCCACAACGAGCGACGAGAAACACAAAGAACGCCGACCACCACACCAGAGCACCCCACCCAGGCAGCGCGCCAACCGAACCGACCCCAAACAAAGGCCAGCAAGACACCACAACCGCACACAAACAACCACACCAACACACCGCAGAAACACCACGCCACACCACCCACCGCAAACAAACAAAGAAAACCCCAACGACCACAGAACCAACAGCGCCCGAAGCGCAAAAACACCGGACCGCAAACAACAAACGAGCAAACGAAGCACACCCACCCCACGAACACACCCCCGCCACACCGAAAAAACAACCAGCCCAAACACACCACCACACAAAACCCCGACAGAAGCGCCACGCCAACCCAACCCGAACACCGCAGCACGCACAGACACACCAAACACCGCCCGAACCGCCAGACGACCACCGCACACCGAAAACACAAACAGCCACCGAGCCACACACCGCCGCACCGCCCGCGCCAACGGAACACAGCCNACC